TCAGCAGGAAGCCTGCTTCTCCCTCTCCCGCTCCCCCTGCTTGTGTTCCCTCTCTTGCTGTGTCTCTCACTATCAAATAAATAAATAAAATTTTAAAAAATAATAAAAAAATAAAAATAAATAAAAATAAAATAAAATAAAATGAATAATGAAATTAATGACAATAATTCAAAAAAAGATATGAAAATGTCCAGTGTGACTGAGAAGTAGGGAAACAAGCAGGCATACATTGCTGGTAGATAAGTGATTTAGGTTACATTTACACAATGAACTATCATTGACCTAGACTTACATATTTATTTAAATGAAATATTCCAAATGAAAAATCACAATAGAGATTACAGAATATATAAAGAGCATCACCTCATTTTGGTAACTAAGTAACTATAAATAAGTTTTTATTTAATTCTAAATTATAATTGCACATATGTTTCTATGTAAGTTTGTAGAAATCTATACCAAACTGGTGATTTTTATTTATCTAAAGATATTGACATTGGGGCACCTGGGTGGCTCAGTTCATTAAGTGTTGGACTCTTGATTTCAGCTCAGGTCACAATCTCAGAGTTGTAAGATCAAGCCCCACCCGGGGCTTGGCGCTGAGCATGGAGCCTGCTTAAGATTCTCTCTCTCCCTCTGTCCGTCCCCCTCCCCTTGCTCACGTGCACTCTCTCTCCTTCTATATAAATAAATAAATAAATAAATAAATAAATAAATAAATAAATAAATAAATAAAATACAGATACTGACTTTGGGATGTGGATGAGTCCCCCCCTTTTTTCTTTTTGTTTGTCAATAGTTTCTAATTTTTTATAGTAAAACCTGGATTATTTATGTAAATAAACAAAAGCAAGATTTAATATAAAAGTAGTAGCATCCGTGGTTAAGAGGATGAACTCTGGAGTTAGATAAACCCAGGTGACAGATGACCTTAGTTAATCTGCTTAAACTTATTCACCTTGATTTTTCTCATCTTTAAAATGGTGATAATAACAGTGCCTACTTCAGTCTGTTTTTGTGAAGATTAAATTGGATAACTGGTATAACCTACCATGTGTACTTATCATACAATCAAGTAATTACAGTCCTCCCACTCCTATATGACACAGCCGTACAAGGTACTTGGGGATGTGCAAAGAAGTTTGAGATTGTCCGTGCTCTGCAGGCAGTTAAATGCCCAAATAGACAGATGTCACTAACTCAAACGAGAACATGGCAAACAAGGGGTTCATAGTTCTATGACAGGTAAGAGAATCCCAAAACAAATGCTCATTCTACAGGTACTAGTACTAAATGTCTATTAATCTAATCTGCTCGTTTAAAAAAGGTAATCTAAATGGGTGAATTTTATGGTATGTGAATTATATCTCAATTAAGATATTTAAAAAGGTAATCATTTTAGAATGTGCTATTTACCTGAAAGAAGTGGGGGGGGGGTTGTTTTTTTTTTTTTTGAGGTTTTATGTATTCATGAGAGAGAGAGAGGCAGAGGCAATGCGAGAAGCAGGCTCCCCGCGGAGCAGGGAGCCTGACACAGAACTCGATCCCAGCACTCTGGGATCAGGACCTGAGCCAAAGGCAGATGCTTAACTAACTAAGCCACCCAGCTGCCCTCCCCACCTTTTTTTTAGATAGAGGGTGAGAGCACACTGGGGCTGGGGGAGCAAAGGGAAAGGGAGAGGGAGAAAGAATCTTAAGCAGGCTCCACGCTCAGCACTGAGCCCCACGCAGAGCTAGATCTCACAATCCTGAGATTATGACCTGAAATCAAGAGTTGGACACCTAACTGACTGAGCCACGCAGGCGCCCCCGAGAAAGAAGTGGTCCTAAGAGTATTTTAAAATGAAATACATTGATAGAATACAAAAACTAACATTGCATAGGAAGTTCTCTAAACTAGCTGATTTGAATCATATGAAGTTGAATCTGTTTCATAAAGTTATTGAATTGCTTGGAGACTCATTTTTAGCGTGTGATTAATAAAATGATGCCCACATAGGATTTGCAAATATTAAATACTGTGACTAAAATAATAGATTCCTTATTTTTTCCTGTAAACCAGTTGGAGGAAAGGAGCTTTATTTGGGGGAAAAAATGGGAGCAGAAGTTCTTTCTTAATGTAATATCAGTGATTTTCAAGTTCTAATTAAGATTATACTTTCTCTAGAAAATTGCTTCCTTGACCACTCTTGTTGTTACTGATAATAACAATCCGAGCTTCCATTTACTGAATACTTACTATGTTCCTGGGAATATGTTAAGTGTTTCACAGACCTGATCAAATGTAATTTTGACAACAGCACAGGAGGTAACTGTTACCAACTCCATTTAACAGATAGAGACTGAGACAAGTAAGTTAGGCAATTTGACCAGGTCACATGGCTAAGTTATCAGGTTAGGATCTGAAGCTGAAAGTGTGGTTACAAAGCTTGTTGATACTACACACATAAGAATCCTTCCTTGTACCTTGCTCCATCTGTGAGTGCTACAAATGAGTTAAGAATGAGAGATGAGAATAATCAGTCTTTTCTCAGATTGTTTCCAAACAAGAGGTGACAAGCCAAAACTATCCTCTGGCAGAAGATCCGAATTAAGTTTTCTTCAATAACAATAACAGCATTCTGAGGCACAACTTTTGCAATTTATTTATTTTTTTTAAAGATTTTATCTTTTATTTATTTGACAGAGAGAGACACAGCGAGAGAGGGAACACAAGCAGGAGGAGTGGGAGAGGGAGAAGCAGGCCTCCCCACTGAGCAGGGAGCCCCATGCGGGGCTCGATCCGAGGACCCTGGGATCATGACCTGGGCCGAAGGCAGATGCCTAATGACTGAGCCACCCAGGCACCCCACAACTTTTGCAATTTATATAATGAAACTACTCTGAGATGATATACTTCTTTTTTAAAAAATATATATGTATTTATTTATTTATTTGAGAGAGTGAGAGAGAGAGAGAGCATGAGCAGGGGAGGAGGAGAGGGAGAGGGACAAGCAGACTCCACGCAGAGCACAGGCCCAAAGCCCAACCTGGGGCTCCATCCCAGGACCCCGAGACCACGACCTTAGCCGAAATCAAGAGACAAACACTTAACCTACTGAGCCACCCAGGTGCCCCAAGATATATAATTCTAAGAGCTAACTAGAATATTGAGAAAAGAGCTGATTGAACATTGAAGACTTTAAATCATTGAGTAGCTACCTGGAAATGCTCTTTATTCATCGAGATTCACAGCTTTCATTAAGTCCAGATCCGGTATTTTATATTTCATCCATTCACTCATTCAATGTTTTTTTATTGAGCGTCTATGTGCCAGATGCTGTTCTAAGCATTTGAGATATATCAGAGAATGCAATGAACAAAAATCCCTGCCCTTAAAAAAAAAAAAAAAAAGAAAGAAAATGAATAATTAAAAAAACAAACAAACAAGAAACAACATCAATAAAGAAAATCCCCAACCTTATGGAGTTTCCATTTCAGTGGGGACAGATAAAGGAACATACCAGATGATGCTAAGTGATATGAATAGAAATAATGAAGGGAAAGGAGTGGGACAGACATGAGGGCCAGTGTATAAACAGGGGGTAAAAAAAAAAAAACCTCTTTTGAGGTGTTAGCATTTAAGAGGAGATTTGAATGAAATAAGAGACAGAGAGTGCACCACGTGAATATCTGAGGGAAGACCATCCTAGGCTAAGCAAGAGCACATGCAAAGGTGTGTCCTAGAAGAGCAAAAAGGCCAGTGGGGCTGGAACAGAGAGCAAGGGGGAGAGTGGTGGTAGATGAGGACACAGAGGACGTGGGGCCTAGTGTCAATGATATACCGGGGCTTACCAGTTAGGAGGCTAGTGTAATTATCCAGGTGAGAAATGATGAGGGTGATAGCAGGGGAAGGGGTGAGAAATGGGTGGATACTGGATATATTTTCAAAGCAGAATGGAGAGGATTTTATTGATGGATTAGAGTGTAGGGTGAGAGAGATTGGGTGTGAGGTGTGAGAAATCTTGGCATTAAAATGCTAGTTAATTAACTTTTGAGGGCAAAGCCTTCCAAGTCCTCTTCAGGCCTGGTTCTTGTGTGTACAGACCATTTGACCCTGGAGGTTAAGTCAATAGGAGTCACTAAAAATCTGATTACTAAGAATAGGAAGAAATGCATGGTGACCCTTCTGCCCCAGTTGAGTGTTATTTGGGAGAGGCAGCCAAGCTAAATAGTGGTTGTGGGAAAAATAATAGATGCCCTTTCTAATGAACTATTTCCAGTTTGTCAAAGGGAAGAACTGGACCTAAAGGTGTTAAGAACAGACTTTGACGGGCGTCTTCAGAAGTTTCAGGACTGGCAACATATTGCAGAACCCAGGTTTAGGTTTTCCCCGTTTTTGTATTTCTCCCTTTCTTTCTTCCCCTTCATTTCCCACCCCCTCCTTGGCCCTACTTCATGGCTGCAGGAAGGTACAGTTTACTGTCGGTTCTCAAACTTCAGCAGGCACCAGAACTACCTGGCATGCCTGTGAAAACAGTTTGCCGGGCCCCACTCCTGGAGTTTCTAATTGGGGTGCAGTGTGTGTGTGTGTGCGCACGCGCGCACACGTACAAGTGTAGAGGGGTATAGACGGGTGGGGGTGCTGCAATTTTGCATTTCTAACAAGTTCTCAGGTGATGCTTGGGAACTGCTGTTTCTTGTACCCGGCGGGCGTGCAAAGCAATGGGGTCTTGAATTCCACCTCGTGGCTTGTCAGTGGAGAAGGTTCCAGCTCACAGAGGTTTGCAGTCACTAAGGGAAATTGTCCACTTACCCAAAGGTGTTTCTCGGCTGCCCATAACCGGTGAGAAGAGGAGGCAAAATGGCAGCAAGGAGAAGGAATGAGCGGGAAGTCTTTCCAGACTGGACATCCCCTCGGAGCTCCCCAGTGAAGCGAGGGCGGGAAGACAGCCCCCGGGCCAGCCCACAGATCCTCAGAGGGCGCGGACCTGGAGGAGGCGCCCCAGAAGGCGGCGCCTCTCGGAGGAAGTTTGTCCTTTCACCGCAGAGCCGGGCTCGCGTCGCAGCCACCTCCAGGAGCGAGCGGCGGGCGCCGACGGCAGCTGGGAGCGCCGCCCCGGGAGCACCGCCCGCACCGCCCGCACCGCCGCCATGGGCGGCGCGGCCTCCAGCCTGCTGGACGAGGGCAAGTGCACCTACATCCGAGGTACGCGCGCCGTGGGGGGCTTCCGGGGAGCGCCGCGCCCGCCGGGGGGCCTGCACAGCTGCGCCGACCCTGGCCCCCGAGGGCGCGTGCAGAGCGGGTGTCCGCCCCGCCCTCCACCTGCGGCGCGCAACCTGCGGGCGCGGGGACCTCGGGGGCCCAAGGGCGCCTCGCCCGGCCAGCTTTCTCCTGCGGCCCGGCCCCGGGCTCGGGCGAGGCTGCGCTTGGGCCGGGGGCCAGCGGGCGGGGGATGCTCTGGGAAGTGCGGCGGCGCGGTTGCGGGAGGCAGGTGCAGGCCGCGGGGTGGGGGACGCGACCTCGTTTTCTCCGCTCAGCCCGCCTGGGGGTCTGTTCAGGCCCGGGCCAGAAGCACCTTGCTCTCCCCTAAGTTCTGAGCTCTTTCTGAAGAGAGCCGCGGGGATATCCCTCGTTTATGGAGACTTCCCGGGGGATTCCCGGCCTATAAAGCAGAATTTCCCTCCTGGTAACGTTGGCCTGGTTTTGTGAAACGAGGTATCGACCACAGCTTCACTTGAACTTTCAGATCACTTGTGGGATGATTTCATCAGAGGCAGAAAGGACCGTGTCATTACGCTCCCAAGTTGTACGGTTCCTTTCCCTCTCTGGAGACGGGGGCGGGGAGGCAAAAGAGGAACATTGGCATATTTTGTAACACTTGCTAAAGTTATAGATGGAGAGAAACTCAGTTGGGGAGACTTCCAGAGATATAGTGACTCACTAGAGAGTGTGAGGCAGAAAAAACAACCAAAAAAACCAAACTGAATTGAAACTGCGGAAAATCATGACTCTCCTGGGTATATTTGGTGCGTGTCTCTTCCTCCCCGGCAACCTTGCCCACAACCACTACCTAACATTTGGTTATCTTGTGAATTTAGTAATTTTCTGGCTTTAGAAATACCTTCTAAACTAGGTATCGAACTGTAAGTTTTACCCTAATTCTGTAAAGAAATGGTTAAGTTCTTCCTGATTACGTTCCTTTTCTCTTTCTGGCCCCTGAATCTTTCCTAAAAGGAAAGCGTTTATTTAGTGTCCTTATTCCATATTTGTTTTCAGTCACCATAACATTTATAACCATTTTAAAAGGATATCAAATCAGGGCACTTGAGAGCAATGTAATTGACTTTCCAGATTCTTCCTCCTGCTCTGGTACTTCTGGAGGAAGGATCATCAACAACCCATTCTGTCAGGGGATGCAACTTGGTCAAGTATTCCTTTGCTGTCGTTTATTTAACATGGGAGAAAGATGGATGACTTATTTATATTAGTAAAACAGCTAAACTAAGGCTGTCTTAAGTCTTAGAAATTTGGCTATATGCTTGTTTTCACCAGCGTGTAAGGGACTGACACAATTGTAGGGGAACCCAGTGAGAAGGGGTTTGCATTTAGTTATTGGCAAAGATGTTTATGCCATTTCTTTTATAAGACTTTATTTCACTGCAGGGCACCTGGGTGGCTCAGTTGGTTAAGCGACTGCCTTCGGCTCAGGTCATGATCCTGGAGTCCCGGGATCGAGTCCCGCATCGGGCTCCCAGCTCAGCAGGGAGTCTGCTTCTCCCTCTGACCCTCCTCCCTCTCATGCTCTCTGTCTCTCATTCTCTCTCTCTCAAATAAATAAATAAAATCTTTAAAAAAAAAAAAAGACTTTATTTCACTGCAAAGCTTAAAAACACCTAAAGTTGAATCACGGCCAACTATAGTAGTCAGTGCAAGTCCAGCAATGTAAGGGATTAAGGTTCTCGAAGACTTCTTCGTAGTCCTGACCATTGTTGCTGCTGGTGCAAGCATTGTATTCACGTGAAAAGAAAACGTGTTACTTTTTATTTTATTGTGAAGTTAAATTATTACACATGCAAAAGTATGAGATGGCTAGTGCACAGGAAGGACTTGGAATGAATACGTTCTGAATGAATAAAACTATAGCATATTGTCTAACAGTCATTGCATCCACAAATCCTGTTCGATTTTATCTCGTGATTCTTTGGGAGGGCACTTTCAAGGTATGTACAGGCAGAGGGAAGAGAAGAGTTAAAGTTAGAATACCTCCAGAGAAAATGAGACGTTGCCTCATTTGAGAGTACTCGTCTTGCCAAAGGAGAAAAGAGCATTGGAAAAATGCATGGCGTTGTGAATTGCTAGTGCATGAGCACATGAAGGTCATGGGGCTGTGATTTCCTGATGGTTTTGAAGCCCCAGATCCCTGGGAAAAAAAACAGAAAACAAAAAACAAACAAACCATAACCCTCTCTTATTCGCCTTGCCCATCATTTAGCCCATGCATATTCTCAAGTTTTGATCTAATTGTATGCAGAACAATTGAAAATATGACAGTAAAGTTTAAATACAATTTCATGGCCTGTTTCTCATAAAGTAGCTGCCAGTGAAATATTAAAGATTTGAAAGCTCCTAGAGCTGATTCAATAACTTTCCTTCAAGCTTGATAAACTTTGCTAACATATGGAGAATAACTAGTCAGTATATTTGGAGTGAGTTTTGTTAACTTAATCTTGTATGTGTTATAAGCAGCTGTACTTCTGGTATGCTAATGAGTCTGAATCAGCATTTACTTTTAGACAAATCATTTAACAGCTGCTGTTCAGTTTGTGTGCATCGAAACTTTGTTGATAATCATGTTCATCACATGGATGTTTCGAAAATACATTATTTCATAGGATTTAGTAAATTTCTAGGTAAAAGAATATCAGAAGTATTAAGGAGTTACTTCATTTCTAAAGGTATTTTGAAAATTACTACCACACTTTTCTTACCACAGAATAAATTTTTAGTATTGCTTCTAGAAACTTTCAGTAACTTCCTTGATAAAGATGTTTCAATTAAGAAATAATACTAAGACTACCTTGTGATCATATGGACAGTGTCATCTGTTTTAGCCTTCAGTGATGCTTTTAGCACCGACCTAAGAGGGTCTTCTTTTAATGAGAAGGAAAGCTCATCTAATCCAGGCATCGGTGACAAATTTCGCGCACTTTTCTCTCTCTATGCTGGGTTTTCTTTTACTTTTTAAACTTTGATATGCAAAAAAGTGAACTGTAGCTTCAGAGCACACAATGTCTTCCTGTTTGAGCAATAATTGTCTTTCCTTTTTTTTTTTTTTTTAAAGATTTTATTTATTTGACAGAGAGAGACGCAGCTAGAGAGGGAACACAAGCAGGGGGAGTGGAGAGGGAGAAGCAGGCTTCTGCAGAGCAGGGAGCCTGATGCGGGGCTCGATCCCACGACCCTGGGATCATGACCTGAGCCGAAGGCAGACGCTTAACGACTGAGCCACCCAGGCTCCTTTTTTTCAATTCCTTTTTCAATTCCTTTTTTTCAAATTGCCATTGGATTGTTAATGAATCAAAAGAAAAATGAACCTGAAAACTCCCCCCACATAAGTCCTGTGGGAGGTCAGAAGAGTACTATGAAATCAGTGCTGTAGCTGCGAACTGTGGCTTAACACAGGTCTGGGTGGGGACTGGTGGACTGTTCTTTTCCTCGACTTACTGTTGCAGTCGGTCATACTTTTCCTGTGAGGGCCCAGTGGCTTCCAGTGAAATGCTCATCGGAGATCTGATACTTATAAAGTAGGAAATGAATTTCGGCCTAAAAACAACATGTATGGGCGCCTGGGTGGCTCAGTTGGTTAAGCGACTGCCTTCGGCTCAGGTCATGATCCTGGAGTCCTGGGATCGAGTCCCGCATCGGGCTCCCTGCTCGGCGGGGAGTCTGCTTCTCCCTCTCCCGCTCCCCCCTCTTGTGCTCTCTCTCTCAAATTAAAAAAAAAAAAAAAAAAAAATCTTAAAAAAAACCCCACAACATGTATTTGTCTTAGGGAGATTTTCTCATATTGATACTGAAAGGGTGAACTTAGGTGGCTGTATATGAAATTTGTACTGTGAACAGAAGATAGGGAGAACTGTACATGTTTGCAGTCTACTTAATCTAGATGTGTACTATTCCACACATTTGTTTATTCTTCAGTCACGATTTGTTGGTAGGAGATGGGCATAAGAACTGGGCTGATTTATAAGGATAATTATGACAATGTAATCTGAGAGTCCAATTTATCTGGCTAGAAATGGCAGTATATCATAATGGGAAGTTAGAATATGGAGTGTGGTAGGCACAGTTGGATGTCAACCCAACATCCTTTCCCCATTCCTCTTTCAACCAGAAGCCCAATTTTGTTTGGGTCTTGAACTTCCTTTATGCAAAGCTTTCAGAGAAGCTCACCCCACTTAACGGCTTTTGTGGGGTGGGTAATGATCGGTCCATGCCTGTCATGGTGGTATGTTCTCCTTGCCAGTGATTATACAAGGCATGGGGTTGTGATGCATTCTGGCCAGTGAGGCTTGGAGGAAAGTTTGCTAGAAGCTTCTAAGAAAGTTCTCTTTCCTTTCAAAAAGGAGACAAAGGGTAGAGACATATTCTTCTTCCCCTTCTTCTTTTGGACTTTATGGCATCTGGATGTGATGCCTGGAACTACTGAGTAGGAAGGGAGCTAGGTCAAAGACACAGCCAACACTGGGGCGTTGCCAGGCCAACGGAGTCTCAGAGAAGAGAAGCTGGAGCCCTGGCACACCTCGCGCTGATTGCCTGCTGGTCCTACTCCTGAGTATTTCTTGTGTAGTATGCCAACTGCTCTTTGAGTTGGGGTGGTAGAGAGTGCCGGTTACCCCCCAATATCATTCTTCCCTGATTTTTTTTTTTAAAGATTTTATTTATTTATTTGAGACAGAGAGAATGAGAGACAGAGAACATGAGAGGGAGGAGGGTCAGAGGGAGAAGCAGACTCCCTGCCGAGCAGGGAGCCCGATGCGGGACTCGATCCCGGGACTCCAGGATCATGACCTGAGCCGAAGGCAGTTGCTTAACCAACTGAGCCACCCAGGCGCCCTCTTCCCTGATTTTTTAAAAAGCTTTTTGTTTTGTTTCTGTTTTTTAGCGAGAGAGTGCACGTAAGTGGTGGGGGGTGGGCAGAACAG